ATTTCCTGAGGCCATAGGAGCTGAATATGAGCTCTGAGGAAGTAAGAAGCCAAAAGTACAGGATTGGTCGTTAAATGATGATAATATAGGTTCAAGTAGTACTTAAGTTTGGTAGCTTGAAGGCCTCCACAGTTGAACCATGTGGGATGCACCTTTGAAGAGGAATTTAACTTTTGCGGGGGCAGGGAATTTAACTTGGGGGGGGGGGGGACAGGGAATCTAACTCCTTGATTTTCCAGGGAAACTTTTAGAAAAGTGAATAAATTCAGTGGACTGGTCCTTAGCAGACTCATTAGCTCTCAACAGATGAAGAGTTCATTCTGGGTGTATTCTTATCCCCGAGAAAGTAAAACTGTTTTTAACTATTGTAATATTTAAAAAAATATATAGATTATGATATGATCTAAATATGATTCAAACAATGCACTTTTACACTGGCCACTGAGTACACTAGCTGGAGGCTCACAATTAATCAAAAAGGACCTGTGGGGACTCACACATGAAATTCACGGCAGAACAAGGAACTTCAGCTGAACAAAACACCATCATGTAGGACTTCCATGCTTGGGTTCAATACAGATGAAAGCGTGGGTGAAGCCTGAGCTTCAAAGATGCAGTGGGAAAAATATCCACGTTGTTTCAGATTTTCATGTTTGCAAAGTTTGGGACTATATGGTAGAATAAAGTTAGGGCTAAAGGGATAATTACTCTGAAGGTAATATTAGCTATAGAATCTATTAAAAACACTTAGTCTAATTCATTTCTTTATATTCAGCTTTTACTGAGTATTTCATATTGTCTAGGCACTGCTAACTAGGGGGGAGACCTGGTAAATACCTATTTATGGCTCCAGTACAAGATGTGACCTTCCACAGACAATAACTGGTGAGCTTTTGATTTATGTTTTTCAATAGCAATATATAAAAGTCTTCAAAGAGGGATTCAGAAGTTTCTCGCATTTTCCCAAGTACAGAGCTAAGTGCCCTCTCCAGCTGTATGCTGACATTTAAATAAAGCAGTCAGACAAAGACGGGAACTGCCGAGAGACGACAAGTAAGGCCACGGCCCCAGGCCTGTGAGTCCCCGCCTCCAGCTGTCAGTACACGGGAGAGCACTGCCCATGTCTAGGTGAGAATTCAACAGGAACCCCTGGATCAATCAACAACAACTGGATTTTTTTCACAGTAAAACAGTTCTTCCTAATCCAGTTGTTAATTTTAATTCCAAATAAACACGCTATCTAATTCTACATGAAGTGACCCCCAGGCCCAGAACAAGTGTGATTATGACCAGTCTGAAAATATCCCCTCGATAGCGCTGAAGCTTCAGCCCATGTTCTTCTTGTGGCTGTCTTTCCGGGGCTGGCCGAGGGGCTGACCTGAAAGATGGGAAGTGTGCACTGGTGAAAGACTCCGTGCAGTCCTCATCTTGTTTTTGCTCTATCAATGACCACTGAGCAATGATTGTACTTCAGAGATTGGGCTTTAGCTGAAACGCTTTACTAAATGTCAGCTATTACCATTCTGGTCTCAACACCCATGACCCTGCCCTGCTCTGGCAAAGGATCCCAATGGCCCCGCCTCCCCATGCCGAGTCCTCTAGAAAAAGAGAGTAAGCACAGGACTTTTTCTCTGAAGAGACAAATGGAATTTTACTGAGCAGCAACAGATACTTTCTTTTCTGAGTAGAAAATAAAAATGCTAATGTGAGTCTTCTTTTTCAAAAGCTTTCTGTTCGGAGAGGAAGCATGGTCTAGTAAGAAAGCAGACAGTGGTCAACTGTGACCCACGGCTCCACCCTGTCCACTGCCAGTGGTGTCACCCTGGACCAGCCACTCGATCTCAGTGACGTCATCAGCAGAACAGGGCCAATACTATTTTGCTATCTGGAAGAGTACCAGGAGCTCTCGTATGGCTCCTCAAAGCTTTCTGTACTATAACTTCACAATAGAAAGAAAAACCAAAATGATGAAAAGAATCAGGGCAAACGGTTGGCCTTTAGGTTTAGTTACATAATGTACACACAGGCTGCCACTTCCCCACAAGATCAAGAAAGAACCAACAGATTCATCGGTCACTTGTAATGACCGAGAAATAGAAAAAAATAAAGGATTATGTTTCAACAATATATTATAGACATCAGATGAAGGACAGTGAACAATGGGAAATGGGAAACAAATGAGGTGAGCTCTACAAATGCCTACGCTGACTGCCGTGAGTTTCTGGGCTGTGGCTCCCGGAATGGGAACCCCAGCGGGGCCCGGTGGACTCCGTAGTTGAAGATATGGAGTGAGGGTCTGGAGAGATGAAGGCGGCCAGCAGTCTCAGCAGAGCATGCTGGAGAGGAGGGAGTCACTCAGAGAGAACCCAGAGATTTGCATGCAGACGATGCCCTTTGAGAATGTAGCTGACTAATGATCAGTGCATGAATGTACAGAACTAATCAAGGCCACAGAACAAAAATCATCCAAAAGGATTAGAAGTAACAGTGTCCGATGTTCACACAGGGCTAGGAATAGTACCTGTTTCTACCCCCTATGTGGGAAAACTCAACATCATGGTAGATTACTCAGAAGGATCTTGCCTCAGTACTGGGGAATAACAAGTCATAAGCTGGTCATTGCTCTGATCCTACCTAACAAATCTTAAAAGCAAAACTGTTTCCAAGTAATTTAACTACATTGCAGAACAAAGCTCAAGAATAGTTAGTTCCCGGTATACAAAGATTCCCAGCACTCAAAAAGGTACAATTTACAATGTCTGACACCTAATAAAAAATTACTAGGCATAAAATGATGCAGAAAAATAATATACATAAAAAAGAAAAATTAATCAGAATTAACCCAAAGGTCACACAGATCTTAGAAGTAGCAACCAAGGACATGAAAGGAATTACTATAATGCATCTTATAAGTTCAAAAAAGGTAAGTAGAGATATAAAAGGTATGAAAAAACAGATATGAAAACTACAATGTATAAGACAAAAAATAGCCAGATTGAAATACAACATAGCATATAATAATTGAACTATTCAAAATTACTATAAACAAAAATCTTAAAAGTAGAAAGATAAAGATATATTATTTTCAGAGACAAAGAAAAGGATGATATTGTACTCTTTTTGGAAACAATGCAAGTAAGTGAACAATGGAGCATCATTATTATTAAAAAACAACAACAACAATCTACACGCACTGAAAGAAGTTTTAAAGGATGTCATGAAGGCAGGAGAAAAATGATTCCAGGTGGGGCCTATGCAGCGAATGAAGAGTACCAGGAATGTAACTGCATAGGTATATAAGTATTTTTCTAATTACTTAAAGCTTTTTAAAATGGTATTTTTCCATTATCATTTATTGCCCTTATACCCGCTTCCTTTAAAAGAAAATAACAACGTTTCAAGAAAAATAACCATGACATACAGTGAAGAAACTGTGACAACCACAGGCCAAAGACAGGAACTTGGGAATGGAAGCACTTTTCTGTTTATTTTAAGTTTCTTATAATGTACGTGAAGTGGTGTATTGTTGTGAAGAGTTAAAAATATTTTCTATAGACCCCAAAGCAAACACTAAATTAGCAAAATAAAGAGTTATAGCTACAAAGGCAACCAAGGACATAAACTAGAATTATAAAAATATATTCAATTAGTGCAAAAGGTGGCAAAAAAGAAAAAAAAATAAAACACAGATGGGATAAATGGAAAACAAAGAGCAAGATGATAGATTTAGGTATAACTGTACCTACAACTTCATTCAATGGTGTTCTCAGTTAAAAAGACAAGACCCAATTACATGCTGCCTCTAAGAAATCCACTTCAAATATAAAGACAAAGAGGTAAAACACAAGTACAAGGACGGGAAGAGGATACACTATGATGACATCAATCAAAACAGAGCTTGAATAGCTTAATTAATTAGACAGTAATTTCAGAGCAAAACAGAGTAGTGGGGATAAAGAAGGGTGTTTGATGATGACTAAGGGGGCGTGAAAGACCACGTAACAACCCCGAACATTTCTGTCCCTAAAACACGAAGCAAAACCTAATCGAGTCGCGTGAGAAACAGACCAACCCACAATTCCAGAGTCAGAGATTTCGGTACCCTTTGCTTCATCATGGACAGTGCAAGTAGGCCTACTGTATACACACTTACCTCCAGAATATTCCTAATTCCAAATTAACTTCTTCCACAAAGCCTCACTGAGGGAATCTGCACTTGCATTGCTCGGGAAGCCTGCATGGGCATTTATTACCGAAAATCACACACAGGGCTCCTTGCTGCTGATGTCATGACAGACTAGGGCTGCTCCAGAGACTGTGGCCGCTGCTCTGAGCAGGAAATTCTGGTTCTAGTCTCTCTTATTCCACTAAAAATCCTTAAAACTTGGCCTAATCTCAACTTTTCTTGACCTCACACGTGGTCAAGAAAAGTTGAGACTTACCATCTGCTATGAACTGAACTATTCTAGCTTTGTTTTGATGAATGTTACAGTGTATCCTTGTTTCCATCCTTGAGTTTTTGTTTCGCCTCTTTGTCTTTACATTTGAAGTGGGTTTCTTAGACGCACCATGTAATTGGGTCTTCCCTTTTAATTGAGGAGACCGTTTAATGAAGTTGTAGGTACAGTCATGCCTACATCATGTATGACGAGGGGGCTGGGGTAGGTTCCATCCAAAGTGGTTCCCTGATTTCAACTCTACCATGAGAGGCCACCATCCCTGGCCAATCCCCTTGAGTCAGGCCTTGCCCTCTGAGTCCCTGGGAAGCCTGCCTGACTCTTCTGCGGAAAAGTGTGTCTGCTGTGCTGAGACAGCCCTGTGGAGGCAGCTGCCCCGCGACCCTTTAACCTTCGAGAAGGAATGAATGGACTCAGGGCAAAGCTCTGAACAATGTGCTCACAGCTTTTCCCCAGACTGCCTCCTCAGGGCCTTCGGAGCCCAGAGCCCACAGGCCCACTGCCCGGGCTGTGCCCCGAAGTGAGCCGTGAGGCCAGACCTACCCGCGGGGGAACGGCCTGCAGGGCGGTGATGTAGTTCTCCAGGGCCAGGCGGCGGCGGTCGTTGAGCATGGCCTCCACGCGGGCCATGTGAGTCTCCACCAGCTGCTGCCTCTCGTTGGCTGCTTCCTGCTCCAGAGACTCCACTTTCTCCTGGAAATGCTGCCATTGCAAACACATGCACGCGTCATTCGGGAACTGAACAAGCTGGACGGGGCAGTGTGCTGGAGTCATTGAAAATGGACATCAAATTTCATTTCATTCAAAGACCTCATAGTCATTCCAGCCTTCGGACCAATTCAGCATGTTTTATGGGTTACTCCCTTTCCTGGACCCTATCTCCCCCCTTAATTTCTCAGTGTCAATCATTATTTTACAAGATCTTTGAAGACTGCTTTGACTAACCATAACTTAGGATAAACTTATTTTTATGTATTTATTTTTTTAAAGATTTTATTCATTTATATTTAGAAAGAGGGGAAGGGAAGGAGAAAGAGAGGGAGAGAAACGTCGATGTGCCGTTGCCTCTTAAGCATCCCCTACTGGGGACCTTGCCTGCAACCCAGGCATGTGCCCTGACTGGGAATCGAACCAGTGACCCTTTGGTTCACAGACCAGCATGCAATCTACTAAGCCACACCAGCCAGGGCAATTTATGTCTTTTTGAAACTCTAAATTACACTGCATATTAAAAAATATTCCTCTTTTATTCAAAGTATTTTAATTTAAGAAAATGGCCATGATAGTATCGTATTTACTTAAGATAATTTTGAAAGGAGCTGCCGTTCAACACTGTAATTATTACATAATTTTTGCCAAGGGAAGAAGCAGCAGGAGATTTATGGCCACCAAAGAGACAGACTCTTGACTGAAAAGTAGACTGCGAGTTGCAGCACGAGCTTTACGGAGAAGAACGATGACCCGACCTAACTGGGAGCAAACATAAGGCAGGGTCTGAGCAGCTCCGTTCCTGGACAATGGTGAGCAGTAGTCCACGCTGATGAGAACACGAACAATCACACCGGAGTGTGGGGGGGCACTTGATGAACGGGGCGGGGGTGCGGGCGTGCCCCTCTCGGTGAGAACGGGCTCAGCTCTTACCTGGATAACTGCTTTCTTATCCGCTTTGGGCAAGTTCTTTGCTTGACGTTCAGCCTCTTCCCACTCTCTCATGACCTACAAAACAGGAAAACATTTAAATTTAAAATCATAGTTCTTTTTTTCAAATACAGATTTAATGAGTTAGATTGTTTTTTCTTCTATACTTGACACTTGAAACAATGATCACATTCCAGTTTTTGTTCCAATACTATTTGATCTCCCACTAAGATGTAAATCTATCCCCGTAGTGTATTGAACATAAATATTCAGATTCATTTCAGCACTATGGCCCTCTGAAACAAACGTCGTCTTTTTTTCTTTCCCTGAGAAATGGCTGAAGGTCATTTTGCTTGATGAGCACAAACATCGATGACTCATAAAGGACACCTATTTCCTGAACAAGGTCTTCCAACATTAAGTTGAAACCCTGGTTTCAGTCTTTTGGGAAAGCAAGTTATAAAATTTCAGAGTGTGGTGGGGATCACATACAACACTTCACACGTGTGTAGACATGCCATGAACAAAGTGCCAAAAAGCAGCACATACTGGAGGAAAGAAAAGGATACTTCTGCTGCCAGAAACCCCGAGATCCACCCCACTGAAGGGGTGATGGATAATTAGAGCCCTTTGTTTACCAACCCACACCACGAACAGCAACAGAGCCCTACATCCCTCTAAAATTCCCAGAGAGTACATATATGTTCTGAATGCAGTACAATGTATTCTCAGCAAGTAACACTAATTTAATGACCAAGCTAACCCATTTTGTAGAAAAATAAAGTTTCCTCCTCTCAGCCTTGCTGTTCACCTAGCATTTCCCTGAGACAAGTTCTCTCATTGATCTGAATGCAGAGGAAAAGCCTGCAGTTGCTGGGGGGGGGAAAAAAGGCTTGGAATTCTTGCCCACCTCCAGTGGCCTTTCTGTTTTCAAGTGTACTACTTGGTGTCAACTAGTGTTTTTTGTTGTTGTTGTTGTTGTTGTGTGTTTTTTTCTTCAGTGCAACTCATACCTGAGCTAGGTAAAAGGAAGGCCAGAAAGATCAAGTAAGCAAAATGCAGGTCTGGTGACAGATGTTTACTTGCATACTTTGTGGATTTCCAAACCATGAGACAACTTGATTTCTGTTCCGTAAGAGCTGGTTATTTATAGGTGTTTATCCCTAAGGAACTGATTTCCCTGACGTCCTTCAAGATTGCAAAAAAAAAAAAGGGAGGCTTGGAGTAAATAACCACCGACAGGCAAGTGCTATGAGATAACACCACATCAAACATCAAATCACCATGTGGGTTTTTAATCAGATACTTCATTGTATGCTCACATTGACTGGTTGGGTAAGATACAGGACAAGCATCCTGAGTTGTTTTCGTGAAATTATGCACCGAATGTAATGAAATACATTCTCAACTACACTTGACAAGCGTATTAAAAATGCCCTAAAAAGTTCATAGCCCAACTGGGAAAAATGCCCCACTGCTAATGAAAAGAACAGAACACAAAAGAAAAGAAACATACTGTCCCAGATGTTCTGGTGTCTCTGAGTTAACAAAGAGCACTAGTGCGCAGGGGTCTGCTGAAGACCACCTTTGCTTTTATGGATGAGAGATAAGCCTTGCATTAAAAATATTTTAATTTCCTGCTTCAAGAATGTTCACAGTGGCACTATCCTCTTATGTATTCTTTAGACAGGAGTCTCAAAATTAGTTGAGAGGGATGCCAAATGTTTTACTAGAATGTAACAAGATGATTTTCCATATTATATTGAAATTTTTACAATTTCATTGTGTATAATCAGAATCTGAGATTACAACTTTAAGAAGAGAAATCATGGAATACGTAAGATTTATTTAGCCAGTAAACTGAAAATAAACATTTCTAGAGAAATGAAATAAAATGCCGATTTTCAGAGAAATTTAGTAATATCCTATGCCCTCACAAATAAAACAATCCACCCATAACGTCCCTACTGAAAGACACACACCTCCCTCTGAACAGTGTCTTCCAGCGAGGTAGTGGGCAACGGCTAATACTACTGCTGACCTTAGACATACACACCAGGTCCAGTGCTGAGTGCTTTACAAAACCCATCTCATTTCACTGATCCCTTGCAACAGACCATGAGATTAGGCATGGTCATCCCTGTGTTCAAACCAGTTAAGTACCTGCTCAAGGTCATGCAGGGAAAAGATGGAAAAGGAAAGATATACACCAAGCTCTTTGGGGCTCTAAAGACCACGCTTTTGTCCCCTGTGGCCCAGTTGGCTCCTATAAATTGGCAAATCCAGCAGATGAACTAATTTTATTTATATTTGGTGATGATAGGAAGGGCCATTCTGAGGTGTTGATGCTTATCTTAAAAATAATACATTTAGAGCAAGGTCAACTTTTATTTTAAAGAACTTCAGCCCTGGCTGGCGTAGCTCAGTGGATTGAGCGCGGGCTGCAAACCAAAGTGTCACAGGTTCGATTCTCAGTCAGGGCACATGCCTGGGTTGCAGGCCATGACCCCCAGCAACCGCACATTGATGTTTCTCTCTCTCTCTCCCTCCCTTCCCTCTCTAAAAATAAATAAATAAAATCTTAAAAAAAAAAAAGAACTTTTTAAGGGTACAATAAAACTGGCAAGTTCATAACTATTAAAAGTACTTCTAAACTGTTTGGCATCTTCTATTTGCTAGATACTATTTGTAACATATAACAACAGGAATCTACAAGTTCAGCATGACCATGAACCACCACCACAAAAAACCAAAGTACACAAAATCCTCTGTATTTATAAGAAAACAACAAAAACTACAAGTAATTAAAAGGACTGCTGTTTTAATTTAAAAATTCTCAGGTGGTTGCTGCCTATATTCTCACGAAGACATTTCCCACTGCATGCACAAAACTACCAGCATCTTCAGGATGCACGGATCTTCAGTGACTTGGCTGTTTCATGCGGAGACAATGGACAACTAACGCGGAGAGATTTAAGAAGCAGGCAAATTCAAAGTCGAGCAGCCCCCAGAATTCAGTCCCGTAGACTATGGAGACAGCCTCACTTCCTTATGGCCTCTGGGCTCCAGCAGACTGCATTCTCTGATCCAGGATAACATCTCTTACATTATCTCATATAACTAATGACTAAAAGATGAAGAACATCTATTAAAATGTAGATGCACTAAATCATGGGTTAAGTAGATATGCTAAAATAAAATTAAGTTACTACTCTAGGAGAGATTAATAATGTCTAAAACTAATAGAGTATTTGAACTCAATTATCTTAATAAGATCAAAACAACAAAGGCACTGGGATAAACAATGTAGGATTTATAGTTTTTAAAAATAATGACTGAGTTCAAGTAAGAAATGCAAGGTTAGTAAAGTGACATATAAACTCATAGGGACTAAAAGTTTACAATTCAGCTGGAAAGATAACACTATATATATACGGGGTCTGTCTAGAAAAAGTCAAAGCCATTGTTAATATAATGAGAATGGTTTGCATGATATTGGTGTAACCTGGCAGCAAAGGAGAGTGGACTGGAATGCACATGCATGAACAATGACGACTTCACTGTACTAGTCAGTGGGGGTGGTAGATGCCATTGACTGAGCATGTGTACTGTGTGGCTGACACATTCAAAATGAGTGAGTACAGCAACGAATCTGCATCAAAATTTGCTTGAACAAAATTTTGCTTGCTAAGTTTGAACATTCCTCCGTGGGAACTATTTAGGTGATTCAGAAAGCCACAGCTACGGGCCACTGGTGATTGGCAGCTTCACCACAACAATATGCCTGCTTATGCATCATGTCTCGTGCAGAGTTTTTGGTGAACATCAAATCACCCCGGTGACTCAGCCCCACTGCAGCCCAGGTTTGGTGCCCTATGACTTCTGGATTTTCCCAAAACTAAAATCACCTTTGAAAGGGAAGAGATTTCATATAATCGATAAGATTCAGGAAAATACAATGGGGCACCTGATGACGACTGGGAGAACTGTGTGAGGTCCCAAGGTGCCTACTTCGAAGGGAACTAAGGCATCATTGTCATATGTACAATGTTTCTTATATCTTCTTCAATAAATGTCTCCATTTTTCATAGTACATGGCTAGATACTTTCTGGATTGACCATGACATATATGAAACAATTGCCAATAAAATTAAGGATCAAATACACAGAACTGAATGAAATGCAAGAGCAATGACTGCCTGTCCCATTCCGAGAACTATGTGGGGTATTAGGAATGGGTGGGACTTGCCAATGTGAGGGAGAGTGGAAGGGCGTTTGCAGAGGAAGTTAGTGCTGACGGTGACAGGAGGCCAAGACAACCTGAGCACGTGCGGAGCAGAGGCCAATGGCTGTTTAATGCTGCCAATATGATGGTTGGGGTGGCAGAAAAAGCAGGAAGCCTGAAGTTGGAGTGCCGAGGGTTGGGCTGTGGGGCTAGGCACTCAACTGGGAATGCCTAGTTGAGTGTTCAGTATTTATTATTGTTATTTTTATTTTTTTTCTTGTCCCAGATACGAACTTTGAGGACAGTGGGAAGCACCTGAAGCCTTCAAAGACAGGAAGTGAGATAGAGTTTAAGTTTAAAGGACATCATCTCAGAGGTAGTGGATACAACTCACAGTCATCCTTGATTTTTAAACAAAGACAACACATCAACCTGTATCTTTCCTAAAGAAAACCCCTATTTTTCAAGAGCTAGCTTCAGGGAAAACCTCACTCTTCCACTACAGCTAGCTTTGTAGCTCAACTCGCATCTGAGGTTCCATGAAGGGCGACAACCAGAACTGCATATTATATCCCAGAGCCCAAGCATTATGATTCTGCTTTTCTTCTCCTTAATGTTTATTCCTAAGTAGTTCCAAGTATTGTGGTCCCTCTCTTAAAAAACAGACAAACAAAAAAAAGGAATTGTGTTCTGCCTCTAGATGCATTAGTAGTTGTATGTTTCAAAACATAGGTTCTATTGTTATTCGGGTGTGGTGAGGCCAACACACCAGGAGATGGCTATCACCGAACACACAGTTTCCAACAGGTCACATGGGCAAGCACAAGGGTTGCTCAGGAGGCAGGGAAAGTGAGGAAAAAAAACCACGGAAACAACCTTTATTCTTTATTGTGGTCTGTGAGGCAAGGATGGAGCAAGGCAGGGTAAAGCAGCTCAACAAGTTTAGGACTGATGGATTTGGGTGACTCGGGTGAGGTCCGGGGTATGGGGGCTATCAGTCCTTCGGTGCCTGGTACCCAGCCTTGAGGCAAGTAGGCAGGTTGCTAGTCGCCTAGTGTAAGAGCCCAAAGAGAAAAGGTAGTTGGGGTGCAGATTTTGAGTGGTTGGTTTGTACTGGGAAGGTGTGTTTCCAGGCCGGTCATTTGCTACCTCTCAGAACTGGCTTGCCCCGGAGGGACAGCCTCTGCAGGGCTAGTAAGGTCTCAGATGCCAAATCACCGGAAAAAGACAGAAATAAAAAGGCATGATTAACCCATCTCGATCTTAAAAAAATATATGGAACTAGATGAACTGATTATTATGTTTCACTTTAGTTGTAAGTTTCTACAGTCCTATGAATGAGCATTGTAAGAAATGATTGGATCAAAGATATAAAAAAGAATAAAAGAATAAAAAAATATTCTTTAATGGTACCTAAAGAATGTTTTAATGGATTTTAATTTTTAACATGATGGTTACAGGTCCTCTACATATAGAATAAAAGCATTGAGAATGCTGTAAACACTGAATTTCTGCTTCTAAAACCGTATTATACTTCCGATACCTGGGTCTTTCCTAGGTGGGATGCTCAGGAACATACAACCCCGCCCTCCCAATCAATACCCTACAGCAAACATTTAACATTAAGACTATGTCTTTAAGGATCTGGATAAAATGAAAGGCCTCCCCCACCCCTAGATATTCATCTGCCATTGGGCCCCCATGGAGATTTGAGGCAGAGGCAAGACCCAATTTTCCCTTCGCTGCGGGGCTGAAGCACGGATGAGCCACAGTACCTGGGACATTCTCTCGCGGTGCTTGGCCTCCAACCTCTCTTTGGCTTTCTGGAAGTGGGCGTGTTCATTCTCATCGCCAGGGGTCTCCAGGTACTTGTCAACGGCGTCAGGGGTGCTGGCTGCTGTTGTAGGAACTACAAGTAGAAGGGAAGAAGGTCTGAGAAAGAGAAACAGACTATCCAGTCATTTCAAAGAAAGCCATAGTTTTCGTTTATTCCAGAACAAAGAGTTTTTAGTACAGAAGCACACACAAGATGTTAATGCTGTTTAAGAGGATACCACGAGACACTGCCCAGCACCTAAGATGAGTGTCACCCCTTTCAAGAATCAAGTGAAGGAAAGTCTTGAAAATAGTCCATTTAGTGATTATAATATTATACTTAAAATCCTTTGCAAAACAAGCAGGCACAGAGCAGAAACAGTTGGTATTTAATACAGACATGGCGTCCTAATTCCTAGGCTTTGCTAAATTAATTTTTGTAATCTCGAAAGTAAATGATGTATCATCAATGCTATGCCTTAAGATTCCTACAAAAGCCAAAGAAATCTCAAAATTAGTCTACTGTAGAATAATTGCACCAGAATAAAGGTAAATCCTACACTCTACATTCTCTGTTTTAGATAGCTTGATTACACGCCGTCTTTTCTGAAAAAACATTTTAAACACTACCAAACTCAAAAAGTTAATAAATGAATTTTTGAAATCATAAAAGAAACTTTCTACTTCCACAAATTTGGCCATAGTCAACTGATTCATAAGACTAGTTGTCAAAAAGGAAGTGATTTCTATTCTGAATTCCAGTAATACTTCTGAGCAATATTACTGAATTGCAACATATACTGCTATATTATGTGGAAACGTAAATACCCATAAAATTGGAGTGTGCATTATAAAACAAAAATGTCTTAATTCACATGCTGAGTGAATCATAATGGCTATACAAGCAGTTTTCCAAAAGATCAGATCAGAATTCTAGTAAGAATTCAGAGCATTTATGAGCTTATTTTTTTAAGTTAAAAATATTTTGATATAAAGAAGAAACTAAATCAACCAACCCCCCCACCAATAAAATAAAAATAGATGTTTCCAACTATGTTCTCAGGCCAAATCAATTTGTTTTTTATTCAAAAGATAATTCAAGTCTCCCTAATGTTCTAAGTATTCTTCACTAATGTTCTCTAATTACTGGACTACTATATTTGAAATACAATACTTCCAAAAAGACTTGAATGAGAAGAATTTATGGTTATATGATTTTGAAACTAAACTCTAAGATCAATGCCTTTTATACATGCTTCAAAAAAACATCTGGAATGTTAAGATTCCATTGGCCCCAAGATTTACACCAAAACCAGAGGCTTTTTTGTTACATAATTAAATATTATCATTAAAGAGAAACATTCATTCTGGTTTTGTTCCTTCTATTCCAATCACTGCTTAATAATTATGAAAAAAAAATAAAAGCAGTTAAGGTATCTATTCAGGTTTTCAAGGGCAAGGAAGGACGTGGGACATATTCCTGATTTTTTTTCTCCAATACTTCTGTGTCCACCCCTTACAACCCCACCAGTGGATTTGGAGTCAGTTGGTCTGGGACTGGCACAGGGCATACATTCTGAAAAACATCTGCCCCCAGCTCTGTTTAGTAGTCAAGGGAGAGGTTATTTCAACAGCGAAAGGAAGAAGAAAGGCAGGAGCATGAGCTTTGCAATTGGGCACAGCTTGATTTCAGTCTTAGCCACGCTGAGGCCCAGGGCTGTAACAAGCACTCTGCGTTCCAGTGTCTTCGCCTATCCCACCAGTGACTGGGAGCATCAAGAGAGGGAGAGCCACACCACAAGTCAGTCACCCTGCAGAAAGACGGCTTCCTATAGGCACACTTCCTTCCTCCTTAGCTTCCTATATCCTAACTTCAAAATGGGGAACTTACGCCGCCACAGAAAAATGAGCTACTTTTCTTTCAAATCCACTGAAAATAAATTACGCACAGGATCGTGAAGTGCCAACTGCAGAAAAAAATGTGGATTTTTTTCCTAAGAAATTTTCTATGTAACCCACATAAGATTGCAATTATTAAAAATGAATTCTTAATTTTAAGACTAAAAGGTAATTTTCAATGTAAAATCTTTTTTTTTTTGGTAAAAACACAAAAAACACACAAGCAAAATAAACAAAGGTAAATATCTTCCTGCAACTCAAGCAAATCAGTCAACAAGAATGTTTGAGTTAATCATTTTCCCAACTTATAATGGAAATAGCATTTAGCATTTTAAAATTTATTTCCCATGGTTTTAATCATCATCACTGGTACAGCTCAAGGGAGAACAAGTTAAAATTCTTTTTGGCACAGAATAATCTGGCAGAATGACAAAATTAGGCAAATCAAATTTTACATTTACATAAATAAAAATGTCTGGGGCTATATCCTCTGATCAGGATGGCCAAGGGCCATAAGTGTGTTCATCTTATCATGGCACCCTCTCTGGAGGAGTGGAATTATAAAGCTTACTATATAAGTAGAAAGGCTCTCCAACACTTATGATTTGCAAATATTGTCTACTGTTATGGAAAGGAGGCAAATACTAAAACCCGAGCCTCGTTAGCCTACGTTGAAATACAGTTTTACAATATTGAGAAAAAAATAATAAAGACACGAGCATGTGAAGTACATTTAACAAAATTAAGAATACTTCAAGTATTAAACCTTGTTTAAGCAAGTGGAAATAAATACAAAGACCGTATCACATACTTATTCCATTCGGTCAAGCTATTTTTCTTTTTAGAGTACAATCCTTGTTAGTGACCTCTGCTCCTCCAGCTGAGAACCTCAAGGGGAGCTGTCTCTCTTTCCATCCTTTATTCAAACATTTTCACCACTCACACTAACAGTGTGTCTCCATCAGTGTGAGTGAAGTTTTCTTGTGTTCGTATCAGCCAGCAAACTGATGGCTATCCCATCAAGGAGAGAAGGGTGACACATCTCGATATTTTCAAACGAATTTAGCATTTCATGATCACTACCCTGCAGCTGGTGAGGAGGACGGGGAGAACATTTTAAGGAGGAGTTTGTGCAGAAAACTCATCTTCTATTTCTCCAATATTCCTACATCTGAAGACCCTGTCATATCAGGACTGGCTGCCACTGGGTGATAAAGTCTGAGCTAGACCAGAGACATCACAACAAGGATGGTGGCAGGGGCAGGAAAGCCCGCATGCTATGCCCTGACCCTTTCAAGGTAGCTCCCTTGGGAAAGGACAGGCTCAGGGAATATCAGAGCATGTTCCCGGGCACAAAGGAACAGGGAGCTGGGCCTCACAGTCACCGGGGTCACCTGAACCACCTGGAAAGTGAAGACAAATCGGCTTCAGGAGGGTTCATTTTTGTATTGTTTTTAAAACTTCCACAGAGCAGTTTACACTGTTCAGACACCTCTGAGGTGCCCTGGATACTGCAATATGGGCCCAGATTTCCCAGTTGGTCAAATCATAAAGCCTCCATTCATGAAGGCCTACTGTGCGAGTCACTCCACACACGTTCTCCTTTAACATGTGGGGAGAAGAAAAACTACCCTGTTACATATACTGCATAGAGGGGAAATACTCTTCATCTAGCATACTCACATCCCCAGATACACAGAAATAAATCTGGATTCGGGATTCGGAAAACCACGAACAGGCTGTAAAGTTAATATTTAGAGCAGAAAGGGCTAGTCCACGGACATGTCTAGGGCATTGGAAAGGGTCTGTTTTGGTTAATGAACAACGTGAACTGGCCAAAAACATACTTTGTTATGGTGTCTGTCGGCCTGTTTTCCAGGCTGCTCCTGCTTTGCAGGCCACCTGGCAAACCACCTCCAGCCAGTGCTCACCAGAAGCAGGATTATGAAACTCTAGGGTCAAAGGGAAAGGTCCCATAGCCCTTGAGACTGAATAACCTGTCAGCCCTCAGTCCCTGTTTGGACATGCTCATTCATTCCTTCCGCAAGCAAGCTTGCTGGCTACAGTCACCTTTCCAAACAAAACGAGACTTAAAACTCAGGGTTAAGCATTTTTAGTTCTAGATTTCGACTGCTAGCTACCAAATCCTAAGCAGCACTCCCACCATCATCTACGTGTGTCTTTGACTCTCGGATGACCTTCCTATCAATTTTCTTAGTCTCGTAACAGCCTGGTAGCATACTGTGGGAGGTATACCATTTATACACAGCATGGGCATCTGCCCCTAATACCGCGTGAAAAAATACAACAGAAAACTAGTTCTGTTCACAGCACGTTACTGCCTCAAGATGAACGAACACCCTGCTTCCAAAAGCTCGGGACAATTCTGGATGAGAAATGCTTTTGATATAAGCTGCATCCCGTGTTTTCCTGTGCCACCCTGGGAGGTCAGAGGTATCTGAGAAGCCGAGCCAGTAGCCCACATGTGGACTAGGCTGCCTTCAGAGAGATTGCCCATTCCTTCATTCCCCCAAGGGAAATGACAGCTTCTACTCTACGTGAGGCGTGGGGAAGAAACCACTGAGCCAACAAAGACCCTTGTCTTTGTGGAACTGTGTTCTAGTGAAGGAAACAACCATCTCAAAAAATAGGAATTCACATGGTTAATATGTGATCCGTATTATGGAGCATAAGAGAAATAGAACGGTGTTGAGAGGAATCAGGAGGGCCGGGGGCAGGGGCTGGAGGAGAAAGACAGTGGCCAGGCTGGGTCTCACTGCGGCGACCTCTACAGAACAGCCCCCCTTGCCAGGTACCTGCTGCAAGAACAGGGTAGGCAGATGGAGAAATTCACACAAAGGCCCTGAGAGGTGAGTGTGGCTGGAAAATTCCAGGATGGGCGAGGTCCACGTGGCCTGAGCTGAAGGGGCAAGGGAGACAAGTAGTGAGAGAGGCAGGGCCCGAGTGGGTTGTTTTAGCGAAGAGCAAACATGTGCTTTAAAGGATCCGCCTGCTAAGGGACAAAGCCGTCAGAAGGAGAGCTTTAAAGAGGGAAACATGAAGGGGAGGGCGGCTTGGAAAAGTGGCAGGGAGGTGGTGAGGGGTTCTCGCTACGTGCCCCCCCCCCACCCTCCCAACACAGATGAGAAGGATCAGGTTCACTGCGTTACCACAGAATGCTGTAACCTAAACCAC